CCAAAATGAAATCAATCTAACAAAGGAAGTAAAATATCTATTCCATGAAAATTACAGTACTCTGAAAAAAGAATTGAACAGAATTTCAGAAAATGGAAAGACATCGCTTGTTCATGGAGAGGAGGAACAAACTTTGTGAAATGACTATGCTTTCAAAGTTATTGTACCGATTTAATGCAATTCCAATCCAAATACGATTAGCAAATCTTACAGATTTAGAGAAATCATTCCTAAAATTCATCTGAACCAGAACAGACCTGGAATTTCAAAGGCAATTCTGGGCAACAAAGGCAAAGCAGGAGGCATCACAATTCCTAACTTGAAATTATACTACCAAGCTACTGTGATAAAATCAGCATGGTACTGAAATAAAAACAGATCTGAAGGTCAGTGGAACAGATTAGAAGATACAGTCACAAATGGAGACACACTCAGCTACCTCATCTTCAACAAAGGGGCCAAATATGTTTACTGGAAGAAATATAGTCCTAAAGAGTGGTGCTGGCAAACCTTACTTTCCTTATGCCAAAATTTAAAACTAGACACATGCCTATCACCATGGACTAAAACAAGTGAAAATGGATCAAATATCTAAATATTAAAACAGAAATATTAAATGTGCTTGAAGACAAAATAGGTAGAAATCTTGATGGCATAAAGGGAGTCAGAGAGTTCATGAACAAAAATACTTCCCAGAGTCATCCCAGGGATCTCATCTTATTAAAAAGTCTTTGCTTGTCAAAAGAAATCCCCAACAGAGTAAAAATAAAACCCATGAATTGTGAAAAAATCTTAATCAAATGTCCCTCAGTTGAAGGGACATGTATCTAGAACATATAAAGAATTTTTAAAAATCAGACCCCCAAAATTCAAAGACCCAATCCAAAAATGGGCATCTGAAATGAATACATGGTTCTCAGCTGAAGAAATACAAATGGAAAATAAATACATGAAAAAAATGTTCAGCATCACCGGGTATTAGAGAAATGCAAATTAAAACAGCACTGAGACTTCATCTCACTCTAAAAAGAATGGCTAAAGTCAAGAAATCAACCAATAACAAACGCTGAAGAGAATATGGGGGAAAAAGTACTTCCTTTTGGTGGGAGTGTAGGCTGCTGCAACCACTATGCAAAAGTTCCTCAAAAAGCTAGGACTCGAGGTTCCATTTGGCCCAGCTATCCTGCTTCTGGGCATTTTCCCAGAAGAACTGAAAACATTCTATCACAGTGATATATGTACACTCATGTTTATAGCAGCATAGTTTGTAACAGCTGTATCTTTGAAACAATCCAAGTGCCCATCATTCAAGGAATTGATAAAAAAGGTGGTATTTTTATACAGTGGAGTACTACTCAGCTATAAAGAAAGAGTGCATCAAGGATTTTATTAGTAAATGGATGCAACTTGAGACCATACTCATATGAAAAATAAACTAATATGTGTAAATACCACATTGTCTCCCTAGTGTAAGAAACTAGAACAATAAATATGATCCAAAATTTACAATAAATATTGTGTAAGGATAAGAAACTTCTCAAAGAGGAAAAAATAACGGATAGAAGAAAGGAGGAAAGAAGGAAGGGGAAAGGAAAATGGCATAAATCTTTATATATGCATAAGATAGCTAAGAAAACAATACTACTAATTATATTAGTTCTTGGAAAAGAATAGTTAATATTCATATGATGAGATCAGTTTTGCATGTCTGTGTCTGGTAACTAAGCAACTTTTTTGAAGGTAAAAATGCAATGTTACAACCATTGTTAAATTCCTATATCTTGCTTTGAAAACCTATACTGTTATTGTTTGGGTGTTTTGTTTGCTTGTCTCTTATTTTTTTTCTTTTTCTTACTATGTCTTTTTTCCCTTATATAAATAAATAAAAACACTAAAATGATTGTATGAAGAGAGCACACCATTTTATATGTGAGGAACTAAACAGTGGCAAATTTGAGCATCCATATGGATTATCCTGAACTAATTCTTTATGGAAACTGCAAGATGATTGTATTCTTGCTGAGCTGCCAACAGAAATCATTTCCCTCTATCCTCTTTCTTAGGGAAGGAAATTAAAATGTTGTTTAGCACAATCCTTGCTTTTCAAACTCCTTTCTGTGAGGCAGGTCTGGGTGGATGGTCTCTTATCAGGTACCAAGACTTCATCATTTGTCTTAATTTAACTTCTTTCTTTTAATCATCCTCTTTATGTCCCTCAAACATTGGATTCCTCTTGTAGTCTACTTATTAATTAGGATAAGTTAAAATAAGAAAGAATAAAAGGGAATAGAGTTACAAAGCAGAAAAACTCCAGCTCAGTCCCAGCCACTTCAAGATTCGTAGTAAAGTTATTTATTATCTATTTTCTTTTTTTAAATAGGAAGGACACATATCTTAAAGTGGGGCAGTACTCTGGAGCTGTGATTAGAATTTTCTGCTTGTTGGGGCATCATAGTATAATCAGTGAACTTAGGACTCCTTTTTACATTTTGTACCTTGGTTGCAAAGGTTGATTTATAGCCTTAGAACTTTTCTGTCATATTGAAAGGTCACAATTGCCTTTGTTTGCCTAATTTGGACAATCCAAAACTGTCTCCAAAATACTAAGTGCTTTGTATTACTGCATTTTCTTTACGTTTGTATGTTTGTTCCAGCTAATCTTCTTTGGTTACCCACTCAAATTATCTTGACCAAACAAAAATTTATTGTAAAGAGGTACGTGGGATTTCATGGGAACACAAACATAGAATTAGTAGGAAAGGACTCTGAAATCCCTGGAGCAGAGAGGTAGTTGGGTTCCAAGACAGCTTTATAGCTCTCAGTAAAAAGTTTTTGGGTCTTTCCTTATTTTCTATAGGAGTCCTCTTATTGTTCATTTATATTTGTCTTTATAATCATATAGTGATCTGATTCCTTCTGAATCATCTCTTTCCTGATGTAACTGGTATACTGACTGAAAAATTCTCAAATTAATTTGATGGCCGGGTGTGGTGGTGCACGCCTGTAGTTCCAGCTACTCGAAAGGCTGAGGTGGGAGGATCACTTGAGTCCAGGAGTTCTGGGCTGCAGTGCATTATGCCGATCGGGTGTCCACACTAAGTTTGGCATCAGTATGGTGACCTCCCAAGAGCGGGGGACCAACAGGTTGCCCAAGGAGGTGTGAACTGGCCCAGGTTGGAAATGGAGCAGATCAAAATAATTTGATAGCTTCTTTAGTCATTTATATAAGGTTGATAGCTAGATATCTTTTTGTTTGTTTGATTTTCTTTTTTTCAGTACTGGGGATTTAATCCAAGTTAAAGTGGGAATTTAATTCAATGTTCAGTTTCCAGGTTAGATTAGGTGCTCAAGTAACATTTAATCTAACTAGTTATGACAAGATGAGGAAAAACAATTATGTACGAGAAAAAAAAAAAGGCCTTCGTAGTAGCTTTGAAAAGAGCAGACCTGTAAAATGGTTTGTGAACATGGTAAACACACCCCTAATTTTATCATGTTTACCTTAGTCTACAGATGTCTGAGACAATTAATATAGGATCTTCGGTGTTTCATAAGGTCTTTATGTGGTAACTTAACAGATATTGTTCCACAAATAATGTTTTTAGCAGATTGGAGTTTTCTTCGGTATTCTTCTTTTGAAAACTGTTTCAGAGTATTATTTTTTATTCAGTAAATGAGAAACATAGCGTACATTTGCTGAAAATTCATGCAATGTTTTTAAAGGTATTAAAAACAGGTATTAAAATAGTATTAAAATATATGAAAAGGAGAATCCTAACAATGTTTATATAAAAAGACAGATAATTTTATTCTTTTTAATTAATTGTGATGTTTAATGGTAACTGTCAACTTGATTTGCTTGAGAGATGCCTACAAGATTAGGAAAGTATATTTCTGGTATGTCTGTGTGGGCCATCAGAGTGTAGCCTTAGGAACTGTACCTCCCTTGGCCCCTTTATCTCTGGATCATCCCTCTGTTTCTCCTGCTACAAGGTCAACAGCTTTGCTCTAGCATGCCTTTCCACCATGATCTTTCTACTTTGGAATCAGCCAACCATGGACTAAATCCTCTGAAACTTGTGAGATAAAATAAACCATCTTCTGTCACTTTATGTATGTCAGGTGTTTTGTACTAATCCAAAGCACTAATACAAAGCAGTCCTTAATTATTTTAAACTTTCATTTTTATTAATCTTGCTTAAAGAAGAAAAGAGTTTAGTGACAGAAAGAGAGGTTTGGAATACAGAATGTTTACATTTTCATGAAATTTTTATTTTTATTACCACTAAAACAGACTGATTACTTCAGATATAGAAGTTTTGTTTAGGCAAGTTTATAAATAGTAGTGATATTTTTATAGGAAACCAAAAACAAGAAAGTATCTTATAAATTTTCTTTTGAGAACACCAAATTGGAAGCTTCCCACCATTATATGTAGTTTATCTTTTAAGCAGAGTAGTAAAGAACATTGTGAAAACTATAGTGTTTAGTTCACAGCTGAGGAAGTGAGCTCAGAGCCCTGTTCTACTTTGGGTCCACTGAACTGCCACCCCAGGATTACTTCTACACCTACAGTTTAGAAGTAATACTTTGAGCTCAAAGAAGTTTGAATGAGATGAGGAAGTTGAATAAATAGAAATCAATTTTATCACCACAGAAAGAACTAGCAGAGCATACCCAGTCGGTACTTGGTGGAAGCAGTCTCCTATGTGGAAAATACCGTAACAAAAGGCTATTTGTCTTGGGAAATCTGTCTTCCTAAATTCTAGTTTTCTGGTATTTATGTCCAAGGTACCTTCAATAGAGACAATCCACTAGGGCTTTTTAAGTGTGTGTATGTGTGTGTGTGTGTGTGTGTGTGTGTGTGTGTGTGTGTGTACAAATGTTTCTGTATCTGAGTTCTGTCCTCAAGAATTTCTATTATAATGTGGGAAACAATACGAATCTTTGCTTTTATGACAAGTTCTCTAAAATATTAAATTACATTTCATTCTATGCAGGCTTATTGAACAAATAGAGAATTATTCCTTGACTTTGGGCAATGAGCTAATAGAGGAACCTAATGTAGCAATACGATCTGTTAATCTAACATCCACAAGTGTTCGCTTCTCTGTTGAGAAAAGTAAGTCATTTGTCTGATGTCCTTGTCATACCAAAGATCATTCTTCTGCCAATCACAAATAATGCTCTACTGATGGAAATAGATCTTGAAATTCTACTTTTTCTTTCTCATAGGAGACAGTGATGGTCTAGTTTCTTATTCAACACATGAAGAAGCAAACGTGGACGGACTTAATCCACATAAAGAAACTGAACTTCAGATTTTAGTCAATACCAACACAAGTAGGACTCAAACTTTGTTTTGTTTTACAAAATGCAAATTATTAGAAATAATAACTTATAATCCACCAAGGAAGAGGCAAGATCTATTTATTATTAATTTATCATTAGTTTTAAACCTGATAGATTACTTTGAATATTTTTGGGTAATCCCAATTCTACTATCCTCGGTCATAAAAATGATTTTCTTTCTTTTTCTTTTCTTTTCTTTCTTTCTTTTCTTTCTTTCTTTCTTTCTCTCCCTCTTTCTTTCTTTCTTTCTTTCTTTCTTTCTTTCTTTCTTTCTTTCTTTCTTTCGTCTTTCCTTCATTTATTCCTTTCTTCCTCCCCCTCTTCCTTCCTTCCTTCTCTCTCTTCCTCTTTTCAAAGAGGAAAGATCTTTTGTGGTGATGGTAAACTTCTACTGGAAGAGCCACTAGAGCTCTTTGCTCTGTGATTTTACACCACTGGTTCCTTCTGTTCCTTAAACAGAAGGCAGAGCTCACTGGGCCCCTATGTAGGTAGAGCCATCTTTATAGTCACACTTTGTTGCTTCTTGTCCCATGAACACAAGTTAAAGAAGCAACTGAGCTTCATGTTACTTCACCCTACTGCATAGGAAAGCAGGATGTTTACTTTATACACGAGACACACCAAATACTTCCCTGAGGTGTATTAGGCAGAAAATATTGTTATCACATAGAAGATATGAAAACGGAACCTCAGAATAAAATGAATTTTGTTAAAATAACTAAGCATGGGTTACATACGTTAATCAATTTGAACACACAGAGCAGAATAACAGACTTAGCTTCTGCTACAATAATCTCATATGGATCACTTTTACATCAGATCTATGAAGGCTGTTCCCCATAAATGAAACGATTCATTTTGTAGTAGATAACAGCTTATTGTCTCTCATTTAATTCAGTTTTGGCGCTACTGGATATAGTCCTCAAGACTATTCCTCCATTCTTATAATACCAGTTGCAAACTAGATTATTTTAACTGTGCCTCTGATTAACTAGTGATAAGTTCCCATACTCACTGTCTTGAGTTTCATTAATTTATTTGAGCAGTTGGTAGAACTTGGAGAAACACATTTACTTGTTTATTATAAAGAATACAACAAAAGATACAGATGAAGAGATACAGGATAAGGCATGAGTGGAGGGTTAAGGGGTTCCATGTCTTCCCTAGACTCATCATCCTCCAGGAATCTGCACATGTTCAGCTATTCTCAAGCTCTCAAAACCTTGACCTTTTGGGTTTTAATAGAAACTTCATAACTTGAGCATGTTTGAAGTATGTGAAACTGTGTAGCAATGTGATTGGACAGAGAATATAACCTAATACTAACAGAATGAAGTGCAAAGACAGCAAGACTTGCATGTTCAAATTCTTCTTGGACCATTTTGCAGCATTCAATTTGGGCCCAATGATGTACTGTATCAGGTAAACCAGAGAATTTCTTGATAGTCATGTCCAAGACAGAAAGTTAGTGGAAGATTAGAGTTTCTGTTACTTAGCTGGGAAGAATGATTCTAGTTACTTCAGCCTGCTTTGAGTATAGGGGGAACTGAACTCTGGAGGACAGCCAAATTAGGCATGATATCACAAAACATACAGAAATTAGGTAATGGTTTATTCAGCAAACTTTTTTCATGTAATTTACTCAAATCAGCCATGTAGTTCAACAATGAGATGGAACCTGATTTCTTGTTTGCCTTAAGATTTATTTATTGATTTTACTGTATCTCTTTCCTTTCACAGATAACAATGCATGTGGCTTTGTAGTGTATCAAAACAACAAGCTTTTTCAATCAAAAACTTTTATAAGTAGGTCAGATTTCAGTCAAAAAATTATATCAGCCAAAGTGAAAGATCAGAGTGCTTCTGTTAAAATGGTCTTTAGTCCTAAGGTAAGTTTCCCATTAACAGAAATAAAAAAAACTCAGGTCATTCTTCATTATAAAAGTAGTTATTATTTAGGCAAAAGAGATAATAAGAAAATGTCTCTGAAATATCCTTTTAAGTATTCATTTAAATCTTTCTGCTACTCATATTGTTTGTCAAACTAGCTAAGTACAAAGTTAACTAATTTAAATTTTACAACCTTTCCTCCCTAATCTATAATAAAGATGTTTTTGCTTAGCATATATTTAATATAATATATTCCTCTTATGACTATCTGATCCTATTAGATTTTTTTCTCATCAGTTAGCATTAAATATCAATACTTGTAATTATCTTATCAATTCACAGTACAACCAAAGAGAATTTCAGTTCAATTCCTATGCCTGTGTCTACTGGAATTTTGTAAAAAAAGACTGGGACACCTATGGCTGTTTTAAAGACCAGACCATTGAGAATTTCCTGGGCTGCCACTGCAACCATACTACGAATTTTGCTGTATTAATGGTAAGAGAAGTTATAGTAGCCTTTTTCTTGGCAGAAATTTCCCTCATATACAATTTTATTGTGTACTGTTTAGATATAATTCTGGAGTTCAGTTTACATAGATTTTTTTTTGAGGCTGTGTATTTCAGGCTGGCCTTGAGTTCACTATGTAGCCCAGGCTGGCCTAAACTCACAATGATTCTCCTGTCTCAGTCTCCTGAGTGCTGTGATTACAGACATGCACCACCATACCTGGCCTTAACATAGATTGTTAACACATGTTAAATAGAAAAATTAAAAGATCGAGTGATAGGAAAGTACTTGGTATAGAAAAGTAGCATAGAAGATTTTCTTATTTTTCTTTTTGTTTTGTTTTGTTGCAATATGATCTAAAGATAAATGAATTCAGCACAACGGAAAGAGAGTGAAGGAGGATCTGACAGACTCTATTCTGTTCACATGTATGTCCTGAAGTATGAGATTGGTATAGCCAGATAAGGATAGCTATGTGCTGGCGATGGTTTCAATAAATGGCCAAACGTGGACAGTTTAAATTAGTCACCCAAAGCTTTTTCTAATGGAATTTGAAAATGGTTTTATTAGAAATGTCTTATCAATGAAACATAATATCCAACATCTGCAATTTAAAGAAAAGGTTTATTGGCTCAGAGTCTGTAGCAGTTTCAGTCTCTAAGGCAGTCAACTGGCTCCAAGGCAGAGGAGCTTAGATAAGGGGCCCATATGTGGAAAAGCTGCTCATGGCTGGTGGCTGGGAAGCAGATAGAATCACACTAAGTCAGCTCTGAGCCTCAATAATTCAATTCCATACCAAAGGTCCTGCCAATGATTTCATGAGGCATTAGGGGTACATCTAATAATAGATCATAATAAGAATTACTAAGTTTTACTAAAGATAAAAGGATTAGGTCTTAAAATCACTAAATTTCCCCTGTAGCTTCTCTACATATTCCTTAAGACTTTTAATTGCAAAATTAATCTGTGCAAGTAATTGATAACAGTTGAGTCAAGCTGTGAACTCACCTCTTGGACTTACCCTGTAAGCTGTAGGTCTCTTCTATGTTCCATTTCCAGGAATTAATTATTTTGGGAAAAGAAAAATATTAGCTTATGTAGTTGGTAAAATATTTCAACATGCAATAGATGGAAAAATATATATATATATATGTTGTCTTCTGCCTTATTAAGAGCTATTGATATCAGGGACAGATGAATGCTTTCACTCCTAGTGATTGTTCTGTAGCCATATTTAGGATGGTGATCAGCAGAACATACTAATACAACATAGATTATCAAAGAACAGAACTTTGCCTTAAATGGTTTTGAGATAATTATAGGGGTTTTTTTTCATTTTAATTACCACAATTGTAACTGTCTTGGTACTTGGGATTGCAATGCTACATCCTTAGCTTTTCTTAAATATTTTAAATTTTGAGACAGAGTCTCATCAAATGACTAAGTTGTCCAAGAGGGGCTTGAACTTGCAATTTTCCTGTCTCAAACTTCCTGAGAAATTTTAACTTTTTGATTATAAAAAAGTATAAAAAGTATAAAGTATAAAAAAGTATAAAATCATATTATCATTGATTAGCTATTTGAAGCTCAGACTACTATAGATGATGAATGATACAGCATAATATATATATATATATATATATATATATATATATATATATAGTTTCTGGGATCAAACTCACAACCCGGCAATTACCTGGCAGGCGCTTATGCTGCTGAGCTTAATCCCTGGCCCAACGTAGAATATTTTATTACAGTTCTCTTTCACATTTTTTTCTTAGTATGCTTCAGCTATTTCTTCTCTTTTAGTAAGCCCACAATGTCTACCTAGAAATATTTGTAATTAGTTTAGAGTTTGAAATGTTTTAAAATGACTAGTGATTGTTCTGTAGCCATATTTAGGATGGTGATCAGCAGAACATACTAATACAACATAGATTATCAAAGAACAGAACTTTGCCTTAAAAGTCAGAATTGTAACCTGATATGGGATTACAGTAGACTTTGAGTGAGTGGAGCATTTATAAGATTTCTAAAATCTAGACATTTATAATTCTTTGTGTGCAACTATGTAGTAAAATGAACACAAACAATAACATAAACATCTGTAGTTTTCAAATAAAGTTATTTTTATTTTGTCTCTATATAAGTAGTATACATTTTTAAAAAGTAGTACACATCTATTGCATAAAGTATGTTTACTTAGTAAATAGAATATAAATACAGAAAAATATATATGATAAGTTAGAATCATAATTCAAGCACAATTATGTATTGTTAACAAGCCTCCATATTTTTGAACAAGGTGCTTATGCAATATTTGTCCTAAAAAGTTCTGAAAAGAAGATAGGACTTTAAAATGGAGGGAATGATGTGAGGTACATGGCAGTAGGCAGAAGCATATAACTTTTATTATGTTTAGGTATTCACATTTTACATATAATTATAAATTGATTTTTTTAATTTACAGGAGCATATACTTTTATTATGTTTATATTTTATCTTCATGTTATACAAATAAGTGTAAATTGAATTTTTAATTTCAAGAATTTTAAAAAATAAAAAATACATATAAGCAAAAAATTATACACCTTAGGAGCATTATCACTGCATTTCCAGATTTCTGAGTATGTATTCAATGGCATGGATTTCTCTATACATATTTACTAATGTTATGGGAGAGATACATATTAAACATAAGTAAAAAGCCCTTTAAAAGTAACAGGATCATACAAAAATCTTTTAGTGTTAATAATAAAATATTTTTGCAACTTTAATGTATTTGTTTAGGTGTACTTAGATTATAGTGACACAGAAAATAATATAATGAATGAAGTAACAGTAATCCAAATAACTTTGTTTTTAGACATTAAGGAAAAATACTTTTTTTCTACCTGAATTGGTTAGATAATTGTTCTCAAGTTTTCTTCTTCATGTAAATGTCCTTTAGAGACAATGGGTTAATTTACTTCATTTCTAAAGATATCAAAAATGTATACAAGGAAGATATCTAATAACTGTAATTATTTGGTTTACAATAATTCTTTGTAATGCTGAATTTAATTGACACTTTAGGAATGGTTATTTAATGAATCAACTTATTTTTCAGACTTTCAAAAAGAATTGTAAATATGCTGAACCATTAGATGTGTTATCCCTTATTGGATGTGCACTGTCTATAGCTGGACTGGCTCTCACAATCATATTTCAGATTTTTACCAGGTAAGAGGTGAGAGAGATACTTGTCACAAGAGAAGTTGCTACTCTGGTATAATTTGTGCTGGGAATAGTCTCATCAGAATATAGTGACTCTAAAGTAAAAGGGAACAGTTCAACCTGATCATTTTATTGAATAGGATGCTCAGACCTCAAGAAGTGAAGGAATACACTCAGACAAATATCTAACTTAGAACTATGGCAAGGGCCATGAAGTTACATCTCACTTAGTTACAAGGTTTTTAAGTACAATGAATGTCATACCACAAATCATAAATAACAAAATTACTTAGTGTTGAATAGAAACATATCCACCAGTTTACATTGTAAAAGAAAGTAATATTGTTCATTTATTATTTTATTTGCTTATTATCTCTTTTCTCTACCAACATAAAAATTTATGGAGACAATGACATCCTCGGATTTTATCATCATGTTGTTTTGATTTCACCACTAAATCTCCAGGATTGAACATAACACTTGGGTCTTACTGAAGCTCTGTCTGAGCTGGGTTTGATGTTGTACTTGGGTAATCTCAGTGCTCTGGGAACCTGAGACAGTAGGAACCATGAATTCAAACCCTGCGCGAGAAACTTAGTAACACCCTATCTAAAACTTCAAATACAAAAAAATTGTTGGAACCCACCCCAGGTGCCTGGGTGCACATGTGTCTTTGGCGGGAGGACCCACTGGAATCTTGAGAGCCAAGACAACAGGCCTTGTGCACAGACACACATACATGTTTAGTGAGCAGACCCACTGACACATACAGACCCAGGACAGCAGGGCCACAGAAATGCAGATGCAGGCATGCGTTGGAGGGCAGAGTAATCAGTGAGATCAGCAACATGTGAGGGTCTGAAACAGCAGCAAGGAGCCAACAGTTGGGCTCTGGAGAACTCCACCAAAAAGAACACCTGTCCCAGTCCCCACTTACAGAGACCAATATCAGTTCCATACCCAGCACATTTCTGGGATCTCACATGGACACTATCACAAAACTATAATACCAGAGGTATTTCAACACTTTTATATTCTTCCTTGTCTGTTTGATTGATTATTCCTTCTCTATCTGATTGGATGTAATCTGACTCGATTTTTTAAATTTTGTGGTTATTTTTGTTTTGGGGATTTTCTACCCCACCTTCTCTTCTCTTTCTCTGGTCTTTTTTTTCTTTCTTTTCCTCTCTTTATTGTTCTCCTCTTTCTTTCTTCTTTTTTCCCACCATCTAGGTTTCTTACCTTTCTTTTTCAATTTCTTCTATTGATCCTCTTTCTCTCTTTTCTCAACTACTTCTTGAATTTAAATTTTCAAGTGAGTAAACTTTGTGTCTTCTCTTTCTGATTGCTACTTCACATTTTATTTTAGTCTTTCTCACTTGAGTCCTCCAATGTACCAAAATTTGGGTGATTATACATTGACCGCTAAACTTGACTTTACTATATTTGATCTCATTCATGATTTTATACTGTCCCCTATCCATCTGAATCCTCTTTCCTGAAGAAGGGTAAAGTCATGCTAGTAAGGAGAAAATTGTTGAATAAAAGAACATGTTATATGTTTGACTTTATTATATAACTTTAGAGATTGCTCTCGTGGTTGGAAGTAGCAGGTTAGTGGTTACCATAGTTTGTCAGCAGTTAATTTGTAATTGAAACTATTGCTACTACTAACTGTACTACTTTTGAAGGATGTTGTATGTGTTATAATCAGTTTTTTCCTTGTATGACAGCACTGTGATTGTATGGAGTCATAATCATGGCTACAGCCCAGTACTAAAGGATTGGGTGCTAAACCAAATAGTAGCTTTGCATCCTTTACAAATTGGGAAGGTAGGTGTTTTGGGATAGCTATGAAGAACCGCTTATATCTAGAGGACATCCCTGAAGAACAGACATGTCCTGGGGAAACCTCAACACAGGCAATAAAGTAATCTGCCATAAGAAATTGGCAAGCATCAACATAGAAAACAAAATAAAATTTAAAAAATAGAATATAGAAAATGACAAGATGCAGAAGCAAAATGCAAGCCCATATATTCAGTCCACCTAGGACAAGCCAAGAGCTCAACGAGATAGATGAAACACTGGAAATTTTTGAAATGAAAGCAACAGAAGTGGGAAAAAAGTAAAAAACACTATAGGAAAAGTAATTTCTTAGGTACAAAGAGAAATGATGCTTAAAATCAAAGATATTAGAGAAGACAGATAAAAGAAGAAATCATGCCAAACATAGTAAAGAAATGGAATCCATGAAACAGATCCCCAAATAGAAATGCAAGAGATTAAACCCTCCATTGGAAGTATATGAAACTGATTGAATGAAGGAGAGGATAGAATATCAGATCTTGAAGGAAGAATTGCAGCTAGTGACAGCAAAAAGAAAGATATTTTAAAAATAGCAAAAGATCATGAAAAACCACCCAGCAGCTACAAGATGAAGCAAACAATAACATAAGACTTACTGGGGTCAATGATAAAACTGAAGATAGCACAAATATCGTAAAAGAGTCTTCACAGAAATAATGGCAGAAAACTTTCCAAGTGTGGATAAAGGATTTGACATACAAATAAATGAATCATACAGAACTCTAAACAGCATGACCAAAATTAAACTACACCAAGACATATAATAATCAAGATTCTGGAAATTCATCCCAAGAACATAATACTAAAAGCTGTTAGAGAAAAGAAATAAGTCAACTATAAAGGAAAGTCCATAAGAATCATGGAAGACTTTTCAACACAACCTCTCAAGTCAAGAAGAGCTTGGAGTGAAATATTTCAAGTCCTGAAAAGAAACAACTTCCAATAGAGATTGATGTACCTTGCAAAAATACCTTTCAAAATTAATGCAGAAATAACATATTTCCATGACAAAGAACAACTGAAGAAATTAATGAGTAACAAACCAACACTACAAAGGATACAGAAAAATATTCTAGACAGAAATGATAATGACCACAATTCCAAGAACAATGACAGAAAGAAATCACTAATCAGGGCAAAAAATTAAACAGAGGCAAAAAAAAAGCAAGGAGCCAACAGCAGGAAAATACCATGACAAAGATAAGCCAATACATATCAGTTATAACCATCAATGTAAATTACCTCAAATCACCAATCAAAAGAAACAGACTAGAAGAATGGATCAAGAAACAAGATCCAAAAGTATGCTGCATACAAAAAACATATTCAACTCAAAAAGAAATTGAAAGTAAAATGATGCAAGATAATTTTATATTCAACAGGAACTCAGAAAAAAGCAAGGGTAGCTATTCTGTTTGCAGACAATGTAAACTTCAAGCCAAGAATTGTCAAAAGAGATAAAGAAGGTCACTGCATACTTGAGGGGGAAAATTTCAAGAGAAAGAGATAACAATCATAAACATATATACACCAAATACAAGACCACACTGCTATATAAAACAATTATTTTTTATAAAACAATTACTAATAGACATAAAAAAATCAAATGAGCGCCCCCCCCTCTTGGATGCTAGGCTGACTGGAACACAGTGAGTTCATTTACTGCTCCCCTCCATGACACCCTGTAGGGAGTGTCAGCTGGAGGACAGTGAGTTCACACTCTGTGCCTCTACATTACACCTCAAAAGACAGGTCACTTGGAAGACAGTGAGTTCATGCTCTGCACCCCTCCATTACATCCCAGATGGTGGGATTGACTGAAAGACAGTGAGTTCATGTTATGGGTCTTCTCTATTATCTCCCTGGACAGTAGGTCCAGCTGGAAGAGGGTAAGGTCAACAGGAACTCCAGGACCCAGGACAACAGCCTGGGGCACAGACACACATGTGTCTTTGGAGGGTGAAGTTAATCATTGAGGCCAGTAATGTAGAAGCATATGAAGCAGTATTGAGGAGACAGCAGTTGGACTCTGGAGAAATCCCCTGACCAAAAGATCAGTCCCAATTCCCAGATCCAAAGGCCAAGATCAGCTCCATATCCAGCACATCTCTGCAAGACGCAGAGGCAGAGTGCAGCAACACCAGACCTCCAGGCCACCCAGGACAGGACTGGAATTCAATGAGATGAGTGAATTTGGAAGTCAAACACTGGGACTTTCTGAAGTGATAACAAAAGTGAAAAAGACTATAGAAAAAATGATCTCACAGGTACAAAAAGAAGTGGTGCTTCAGTTCTCAGATGAAGAAATACAAATGGCAAATAAATACATGAAAAAATATTCATCATTATTTCTCATTAGAGAAATGCAAATTAAAACCACACTGAGATTCCATCTCACTCCTGAAAGAATGGCCAGGATCAAGAAAACCCACAACAACAAATGCTGGAGAGGCTGTGGGGAAAAAGGAACTCTCCTGCACTGTTGGTGAGAGTGTAGACTGGTACAACTATTGTAGAGGTCAGTTTGGAGATTTCTCTAAAAGCTGGGATTGGAAGTCTCATTTGATCCAGCTATTCCCCTTCTAGGCATATTCCCAGAAGAACTGAAAACATCATACCACAGTGATATATGTGCATCCATGTTTATAGCAGCACAATTTGTAATATCCAGATCTTGGAAACAACCTAAGTGTCCATCAGCTGAGGAATGGATAAAAAAGTTGTAGTATTTTTATACAATGGAGTACTACTCAGCTATAAAGAATGAACACATTGAGATATTTATAAATAAATGTACACAGCTTGAGACCATACTCATAAGCAAAATAAATCAAATTCACATGTATAAATACTCTATAGTCTCCCTAGTGTAAGAAATGGTAAGAATACATAAAAGCACATGGTTATCATGATTCCTCATTATATTTTTTTGAAGCATTATATTGCTTTGTTTGCATTCATTAGTTGGAATGGGTTTGTTCTGGGTTGTTTGATTTTATTGTCTGTGATGGTATGAACAGCTATTTTGAAGAAAACAAGACATTATAATAGCTAGTGCTGGTTTAATATCATCTTGTTTTGAAGTCCTACTATGTTTTTGTTCTTTTGCTCTATCAGTTTTAACATGTTGTATCTTA